ATAGATAGATAGATAGATAGATGGATGGATAGATGGATGGATAGATAGATGGATGGATGGATGGATGGATAGACGAAGGCTGAGCCGTTTTGCTTGAATAACGAAGGTGGATGTCTTGGGTACGGCGTCAGTCTGAAGGTGGCATTAAAGCCAAACGACTGCGGTAGAATGCGAATCAACCGTCGTCTTTTGGTGAGATCAACACACGAATCTCTTCTTTCTGCACTTGCATACAAAATGAAAGTGGCCTGAACAAGAGAGAAAGTTGCACAATAAAGGCCTCCAGCTCATCTGGGCCTCAGCGAGCGAGTCCCGGCAAGGGGACTTCACTGTTGGAAGTTCGAGTCCTCAGTCGCATGGCGAGATTCCTCGCTTTACGCGTGATTTGCAGAGAAGGGCTATTCCACACAGACGCAGATTAAGCCAACTTGCTTTGCCGCCTTCTTGAAAAGTCCTCATCGGCTTTCCTAAAAGGCTTCAACGACAGTTTTCGCCGGAGCCACGAGGAGAAAACCGGTTTAGGTCAAATGTCATAAAGTGACGAGGTAAAAATAGGCACTCGACTTCTGATTGGTTGGGCCTTGTCAGCACGCCCAGCCTAAACGGTGGACATCACGACTGCCAGTCGCGTGTGTGTATGCCAACCTACGTGGGCATGTGCATGCGTGTATCGCCAGAACTGGCCCGTTCCTTCAGCTCGCGAGGCGAGAGTTACCGGATCGATCGGAAGACCGGCTCGATAATACAACGCGGCCTGACCTGCACTTATTACCTGAGCTTGACCTGACTGCGAAGTAGTTTGAATGCTCGATCGATAAGGGATAGCTGTTTGAACTTCTACGTTTTGCTGCATCTGTGCCCATTACGACTAGCAAGAGGAGAATTTTTTAACAGATTTGGCAGGAATCGCGGTGTTAGCATTCATTTCTCAGCTCCTCTTTGGTTAAAAAGCTTTTATTTTAACAAATTATATAATCAAATGGATAAATAAAGTGTGGTCTGGAGAAAACGAAGGAGGGCTACATGGGAAGTTGGTCTCAAAGAGCGTCATGCGTAGTTACTTTTATGCACGCCAACATTTTCAGTCATTAAGCACACTCGCCAACTCGAAAAAAGGTATTATTATTAGTAGTATTAAACTTATATACCATCAATAGATCGCATAATGCAATGATGGGTGGACGTGTGCATTTTCAAATAATTCCCCTGTCTGCCTTTTATTATTCAAACAAAAGTAAGTCAACTTCGCTGGACTAAACAGTCTAAATGAAAAAGGATATGAATAGTGGAGAAAAACTGTTGCTGAACCGCCAAAGTTCAGAGACAAATAGTGACTTTTCAGCCTTCAAATTGGCCAATCTCTCCCCGAATTTTCATGGCAATTGTCAAGTCGTCTGTACCGCAATCTGGTCCAGTAGCTGATGCCGACAGTACCGCTCATCACGAAGCTACTGTCCAAAATGGGGAAATAGAAACAAATGCCTTCAACTGCTTCAACCTTCTCATTCACGAATGTTTCATTACCGCAACTGTTGCTACACAGTCCGTTTTGCTACATCTCGCATCGCAACCAGCCAATTGACAGTCGTCTCTCGATTCAAGTATGAAAAGAAGCTGCATTTCGAAGACTCCCTTTGTAGATTGACACTAGCATTTGCATAGACATGCCTCATCGGATACCGAAGGAGGGTTGCCTTGGACGTTTGTCCGTTGAATTGTGCTAAGAAGACCTCGGCTCAGCGTTCTATAGCATCGATGGCTCCGTCATCTGATGAACTCATGTTTGTTGCATACACACACGAACACGCATGAAAGAGGCTCTAACAAGGCACCCAACGCTACAGGATTCTTGGCCATTTTACTTGCATAAAAAAACGTTGTGCTTTCATCGGCTCTCCTGCCTGCATTACTTCGACTCACAAAGTAAAGGTCGGTCACCTTTCTCGGTTTATGTTTTTTGGTGCTTTTGTGTATAATGGCTTCTCGCTCCAACAATGTCCGCCACGTGACACACGAAAGCTCAGTATACAGTCATCCGGGCAGTACGACGGTGAGCAGGCGTCTTCTTCGAACAATTCAACGAACAACAGTCCAAGCCAACCCTCCTTTGGTATCCGATGAGGCCAATCTACGAATCCTTTCTAGCCTCCTTCACACACATTCCTAAATTAGCTTCAAGTTAACCTTGCACTGCATTTAATACACACTCATGACAAAAAACTAAACTAAACTAACTAATAAAATAAATCAGTAATATGAGATACATTCACCCAATGAAGGACTAGTAGAGAAGAATTTTCCCACAATGATATGAGTTGAGCTGACGTTTCCATTCAATTTCACATAGCCTTGCTTTCCCTGAATGAGAACAAGTTTTGTGAAAGCAAGGCTATGTGAAATTCAATGAAAACGTCAGCTTAACTCATATGATTGTGGGAAAATTCTTCTTCTACCACACCTTCATCACGTCAAACGAAATCGGGTGAATACATCTCATAAACCAACTAAAATATATGATACAAAGAGAAACTGGAATTCGATTAATCTTCTGAGATAACATTGTTGGGGGGACATTGATTTCGTATGAAAGTACATGAAGTAGAGACTCGTAGGTCGATCTCCCCAGAAGAGGATGGCTTAATCCCGCTGTACTGCAACCGTTTGGCTTTAATTCGACGCTCAGGTTGCCGCAGTCCACGAGACCTCCTCCGTCGTTTCATGTAAAATGGGTCATGCTTTCGTTCATCATTCGATGGACATCATCATTAGCTGAATCTCATCCCTCTAAATGTCTCTGGTTAACATCTGGGCAGGATCATATATCAGGCTTTATCTCACTTCGTATATAAACTCAAACAAACAAAAGAAAAATTAAAACCTAGAGAGATATAGAGT